CCAGGAGCTCATAGCCAAATTTGGACCAATCATTGCTACGGAGGCTTTGTGGAGAATTTCGATTAATTATAGCACCTATTGGCTCATTATTCCTCTGCTCTATTGGTGGTATCCAATGGTCGCATCAATATTTACGATCCACAGACTCCTGGGAGCCACGGCCAATTATTAACCAATAATCAAGACGACTTGGGAGCATGTGGGCCATTGATGGCACTAATTAGCTTATATTCCGAGTAGTAGTACCCACCCGCATCCGCTTCGTTCCCAGGAGATTGATGTGGGTAATGCCTTGGCAAAGACGCGGCTGACCGCAGAGATTTGTTCTTCAAAAACGTAATCGAACTAATCACTGGCTCTCTGTACAAGAAACTCTGTTGTAAGATGGTACTGTGCGAATCAGTCCCGTGCCGTACCATAGCTTGTATTGATATTGTGTAGGTGTGATAAGCTTTCTCCGACATGCGAAGTAGGCAACGAATAACCCTGCGGTCTGCCTGCCTTTAGTGATTTGCTGTTACGGTGACTAACGGGCTCATCGCCGGTGAGTGAAATGAAATGACATGATCTCGCCTCGCCCGTCGCAATAAAGGGCGGACTGATGGTGGTGAATGTTGATAACTGTCATCGATTCTGCTCTGTGACATTCTCATGACTGTTTATACGATGCGAACAGCCAGAAGATGTTTCTCATGTTTCGGATCACGTCGCAAAATTCAGTGCCTCTGAGAGCCGCTCTGAATCAGTGATGAAATGTTGAGCCACTTATTATTGAAGAGTAGTTTGAGCTTGAGCCCTCACAATTCACAATGATTATCTCATTAACGCAGACTGAATGCCTAGCCGAATTGCTATAAATACCCGGTCCCTCGCCAGCAGAACAGTCATTCGCAAGCACTCCTTTATGATCCTGGGTGAAAGAATGTCGAATGTGATTCGTCTCCGCGGCTACTCTTTGGTCTGGATTGACCTCCAAACCATGTCATGGAATGGACTGACCTTTCATGTCGCAATAGCCTAACATTTCTTGATAATAAAGTCGTCGAACAGTAAGTGTAGCTGCCCAGCCAATTAGAGTCATGCTAACTCGGAAGATGCTAAATATCAGCCCACCTCCGATATGCCTCGAAGAACCCATTGAACGAACCTTTCAGGATCTGGAATGGTCCAAACTGCGAGCAAGGTGAGTTACAAGTTGCCTTCACAAGCTACCTACTAACGATTGATGATAAATAGATGCCATCCTTTATAAGGTCCCCTGCAGCAGGCAGCAATAACTGACAACGTAAGTTTAGAGTCCGCAGCAATTCTCAAGGCAGATATCAGGTGCTGAAGATCCTCTATATAGGATGGCGAACTTTCTATCGCGAGTCGCTCAATGTCTTGTAAGTCACGCTTGTGCTTTGGCCCTGCCCATTCCCAATGCCCGCTACTGCATCTCAATTTCCGCACAATTGCTATCTGTTCGTGGCTCTCTGTCCCTCAGCAAAGATCACTGATGATTATTTTTCGTCATAGGGCGAGCTTCAATCTTACACTCGACCTGACAGAGCTATGCTCCCCTCGTCTTCGAAACTAATTCAACTTCCACAGCCTGGTTGGCCAAGCCACCGAATCTAACTACGCTTGCGTCTTTGTTGTTTCTGAAGACGCGGTTGACAAAGCCACTTCGCCTGGCGCGTTTAGCGGGCCCAATTCATAAAGGCTCGATGCCCTCCAGTTGGCCATATGGTAGAGTTCCAACCTACTATCACCTTTTCCGGATTCCTGTCCGATCAAATGTTAACTGTCACTACATTAGAAATCTTTCGTATCCTGACAGGCATGGCCAAGTCCCATACTAGGCCGACTGAGTGATCGCAGCCTTCGGCAACAACAAAGGGAAATGTAGCATCGACAACCACGGAGAAATACCACGGAGAAATACCACGGATTTTCCAAGAATAACATCAACCAGTAATGAATCAAGCTTTTAGCCACAGTCTGAAGGATATCTTCGTCAAGCCCTTGTTGCAGCTGAGCAAGTGACGAGGCAGACCGCAGCGCTCGATCTACCCCAAATCTCTCGCCACAAGAGCAATCGTTTCAGGTCAGTTCCTACTCTACCCGGGACAAACCACCACGATTCTCTCCTTCAACGGGACTTTGTCCTGACATGATTGAGTATTATCTGTTACCGGAACAGCAAAGACGAAACAGCTATGCATTGGCATGTAATGCCATCATCCATTTCCAGCGATGCGGAGGGATCCTGGCCCTCATGCACGTGTAATCGAGCTGAGCCCACTACACCTTTGGCTGGCCTTTGCTGATACTAGACGACATTGACGGCAAGTCTGTACCATGGGTCATCAGAAATCAAACTCACACGGAGAGGCAATGGAACACAGCCCTTGGTCCGGCCGTTCCCATGAGTCCGGTCGGGGTGCTCTTCGCGGCTTGTATTAGGGAACTTGTATAGGCCGCGAGCAAGGTAATTTGCGAACGACCACCTTGCGCCAGCTGCTGATAACCGGTGCTAGATCGAATGTATCCTACAGCAAATTGCTTTGGCTGTGTCCCAATGCAGACGGCGATTCAAAGCTGGTCAGTACGTTCTCGTCAGCAACGACCACCTTGCACCAGCTGCTGATAATCGGTGCTAGATCGTATGCTGTCTCCTCTATGTCATCACAACGCCATGAATTCATCAGCAAAAGCAGCCTCGTAAAGTGCGGCCAGTCGGGTGCCGCGACGGTAACAGCTGCTCAATTAATACTCAAAATATGCCAGGTAGGTTTGTGATAACTCGTGGATAAGACGTATTTGCTGTCTTCGAAAGTAGCCGTCATGTTTCTGTCAGTTCGGCAAGTCACATTTGCCCGACGCGAGATGCTGCGACGCGTCAGTGCACGGCCTCGTCGCCGTGGCACACGTCCGAATGCCGCCGGATGCTGCCTTGGGTCGGCATGCGCAAGTGACTACAGGAAAGTGTGTTCATTATAATCACGAAGTGGCCAAGAGGTAAAAATCAACCTTAGAAAACACGAAATCACCCGGAAAATCAAATAGGTTTTGATCCGCCTTTCTGATTAAGGGCTGTCTTTCTGATGAAGGTCATCTGAATGTATCCCGCAGGAATCGAAACCGGGCCGTTCTTAAAAAGCCAATGCAGTAAATTCCATTAGACCACACAGGGAGAGGTGCCACCGCACGAATTTTGCTTAATGATAGCCACGATTTTCCAAATACTCATATCCGCCGTTCTTCCGGGCACATATCCAGCAAGATCAGCGTTTACCGCTTCACAAGTATATTTCATTCGATCAGGCCGACACAAAGTGATAACTAAAATTTGTTCAGAAGAATTAAGTTCTCTATCGCTGTCACTGTGGTGGTTCCGATTTTACCGCTGATAATGTACATAATAGCACTGGTCTAGAGATATATATTGTGGATATTAAGCTGACATGAAGCGATACCTCAGATACAGAATATCGCCAAAAAGCACGCTACGATGCTCGAGCCGAGAGAATGTCACATACAAGACCGACCGGGGTATGTACTACCATATGGAACCTAAGTGGAGAAATCATCGTTTCGCACTGTTTATCAACTTTTGCACACCTCACTATCATTGTTGAGTATCGCGGTGGTCAAAGCTTATGGCGGGACTAGCGATGGACATTTGAATAGATGGGATTCCCACTTTTGATAGTAACCTCAACAAGAATATTATAACTACCTATCTCAACAGGTTATGAGCCCGGGTGGCTTTACCTTTGGGCACGCAGGCATCTAAATACCAAAATCCCTTGCCTACAATTACAGCTAAGTTTCTCTCTCAAGAGACCAACTCCATGAACTTCAGAAACTGATCATATATTCTCAGTAACTTGATGAAAAATACGAAGTCATATTGCTCAACCCCCTTTCGAAGCAATAATTTCGATGAAATTCTTTTCACTGGAGAGCTACAGACAGCATGCTATCATTGCTGCTGTGACACACTGTCATAAGGACACGCAGTATCGCAAGGTTGCCTCCATAGCCGGGACATGTCGCCGTTTGCAGCAAGCCTTGGGGATTTCTCCGCCAAATAGGCATAGACAGTGTGCCATGATTGCTACGGTTACACTATGGAACTGACACGAGGTACCACAAACGTTACCTACTGCTTGGACATGTCACCATTTGCAGCAAGCTCGGTATCTATCTGCTTGGAGCCATCAGCATAAGGCCATTTCGGAAGGAAAAATGCGAAAAACACTACAAAAGAGACATTCTTGGACGGACGAGGAGCTAAACATCCTCTCGTACCTTCGATACACTTGCCACTAGGGCTTCAAACAAATCCAAGCGTCATACTTCCCAACACTTTCTTCCAGCGCACTCCGAGGAGCTTACTGGAACCTGTCTATTGAGGACCGCAATCGCCGAGCATCGAGGACCATTATACCAGTTGCACCTTGCAGCTGTGCGGAAGGCTTCCCAACAGCCGTCGAAACGCAATCCGCGTCATTCAGTATCGAGCAGGGGACAAGTCGCTCTAACTGCCCCGTCTCTGGCACTCTCACTCGGTCAGAAAATAACCTTGAGACTTTGGCCTTGACCCCACCAAGCCCTGCGGGTGGATGCGAGCAATTTATTTCCATTAACAGCGTTTCGAGTCGTTACGAACTTCGGCCGAACAGACCCTCAACTTTCCCTCCAAGGAAGCCGCAATATCTAGTTGACCGACGCCATTTCCCACACTTCTTCAGATCGTATAAGTACTCTCTCGATCTACAAGGGCTCTCAGACAACGGTTATATTCCTCCATCTCGAACGCCTACGCCAAGTTCATCAGATCGGAGCGTTTCTATTGCCTCAAGCCTTCCTAGTGCCGCGTCAAGCCTTGAACTCTTCGGTTTGGAGGTGCGCTCTCCTCAGTCATCAAATAGTGACTCGGTTATCTCTGATCGGCCGAACGACATATCTGGCTCTGAATTCTTCGACTCTGAGGAGCATCCTCTGCCGACATGACTGAAATCGCAAAGTTCGAGCAATTCGGAATCAATACGTTCTATAACGGAATTCCAACATTAGATAATGCCAGCGACTGGTTTAGGTGGAATCAGAAGGTCAATGAGTTCATTCGGATATCTGTGGTTGCCGACGATGGAGCGACTCCACCAATAGAAGAAGAAGAAGCACGGCAATGGATTCGCCGCCAAAAGTTCTATTCTGCGATGATCACGGCAAAGCTGACACACAATGCGGCGCAAAGGATCAATGCCTTTGAGATTCCTCGAGTTCAAGTACTGCTTAAGGCAATCCAGGACAACTTCAAACCGGAAGGCTCTGGTACGTATGTTAGCCTCCAACGACGATACATGGCTCTTACAAGAGACAAGTGTGGGAGCACCCAAGCGCTCGGTGCAGAGATGAGGAAGATTCATGCTGAAAAACTCCTCCTTGACCCTGATTGCGTAACCTCCGAAATTGAGCGAACATTTTTCTTCGTGCATGCACTCGGTCCTGAGTATGAGAGCTTCCGCGATCATATCTTCCGACAAATGGACCTTGTCAACGAAAGGGACGCAGATGGGAACGTCACTAAAGCGGCGCCCACATTCGACTATATCGAGAATAAGGCAATTGAGGAAGAGCATCGGAAGGGGCAATTGGGCAAACAAACAGCAGAGACGCAAGCACTTCCTGCTCTTGCCCTAGTCCGTGGGCCAGGTGACAAGAAGCTCATCCCGTCGTCGGACGGAACTACTTGTCGAATCGAGATCGATAATGTCCCATATTGCTCCTTCTGCCGAAAACCTTATCACGTTGACTCCGAATGCTTCACCAAGAATCCGAAACTGAAGGCCCACAAGAAAGACGGAGACGGACCGAAGCCAAAGCCAGGCAGAATGCACACGGGCGCACGGAAACAGTCAAAGAGGCGGCCCTCAACGGATGACGAGGATGACGATGCGGGTGGCCCAAAGGATCCGAAGAAACCAACGTTCATGGCTATGAAGGTCTCCGAGAAAGATGTCAACGAAGCATTTGGAAACGATATCGAAGGCAATCTCGCCCGGCTCGACCATATCCCCATAATGATGGCGATAAAGACCCTCTCTATCCGCGACGCGTGGATCGTGGATAGTGGATGCGCTCAGCACGTCTGCAATAGTGCCTCGAGGTTTGTCCAAATGGCCAAGTACCATGGGCCCTCACTAAGAGGCGTTGACGCCTCAACGGCTCCCTCGGGAGTGGGAACAGTGAATATCCTGTGCAATGTACGCGGCAGAAAGAAATGGCTTGTGCTTGATAACGTCCTCTATGTTCCATCTGCACACGCCAATCTCATATCGGTGCTCCAGCTTCTCAAACGAGGGGCAAAAGTCGAATTCTCAGGCCGGGATGCTATCCTTTGCAACAAGTCAAGTGGAAAGAATCTGTTTACTGCCAGCGAATATCATGGAGTCTACGCACTCGATCTGTGGGCAAGTCTGACTTTCCCCTATTACCATGTTAGCCCACAAATGACGCTGTGGCACAACCGGCTTGCTCATATGGGTGATGCAAACATTCGGCGACTCAAACAGCAGGCTCACGGTGTCCGGGATATGGAGCCACGTCATCCATGCAATCCGTGTCTGCAGGGGCGAATGATCGAAAACCCCCACCGCAGATCAGGAAGTAGCAGGAGAGGAGAATATGTAGTGGAGCTCCTCCATATTGACGTCGCTGGGCCATTTGACGAGGGCCTTGACGGCAGTCGTTACTGGCTCACCATTGTTGACGACTTCACGGGCTGGATCGAGATTATCCCTATACCACGAAGACAATAGTTCGTCATAGAATCACTGCAGTTCTTCCTCGACCACAATGAACGCCCCGAGCGAAATGCAGGCGACTACGTCTCGACCGAATATCTGAACAAGTGGGAGAAGAGATGAAGTTCATGTTGTTCTCGCGCGCAATTCAAGCTGAAGTGACAGGAGTGGATCAACACCAGCAGAATGGAGTTGCCGAAAGAGCTCATAAGACAATCTATGACCGCATCGGCCCTACGCTAGCACATGCCAGGTTGCCGTCTAAGTTCTGGCCGGAAATTGCGCGAACCGCATCTTTTCTCTCAAATCGGTCGCCGTCATCGAAGCTCAACATGACACCGTACCATCCATCAACTAGCCTACATTTGATATCATGACCAGTTCGTTTTACTACAACTGGCATCGATTTCGGTATAAAGGACATTTTTTACCTCCGGTTCGCATAGAACGCCGTGTCCTCGAACCCGTTGCGTCTCCGTAATAAAATTTCGAGCGACCTATGTTGTTGGGCCCGTCGAAGCGGAGGAGGGGTAAGCGGAATATGGCGGGTATACTGGATATCTATCTGCAGCGCTGTTAATATTCTCATGTACATTCACTACCTCGGTACGATGGAAAATCTCATAGTACAGTGATTCTTGAAATCGCCCTGGCCAAGATACTGTACACTGAGAAACTCTTTTCTGGCCTGACCTCCACGGCCTTGGTGCGAGTAATTTATTGAGCGGTACGTCACAGAAGTGTTTTAAATATACAACAAGCCTTCTATTTTACTGTACATGCTCTGCACTCGACTGCTTAGCCCAGTACATCCATCCATTCACTGGCAAAACAATGGGTTCAAAGTAATTATGAAAGCCAAGCTCTATGTATCTCTTCGGGTGAGATAGTTTATTGCTTCAGGGTCCGTTTTGAAGCTGCGTATTGCCAATATAAATGATCTAACTTCATCGAGGTTTTCATGTCGTAATTGAGCCAAAGTGCTTTCAAAGGCTCGATGAAGTTGGGATAACTCGAGAAGATGGCTTCGGCGTCGACGATCGGTCCGTGGATCAATGACACATACATGATCCTTTAATATACACTCTGTACAAGGCATCTCTCCAGAACACTGAAACCTTTTAGCTCCATGGTTGCGTAAGATATGGTCGCGTTCTAACCTTGATCCGCCTTTTTCGGCACTTCATGCACGCGAGAGAAACCTTTGACTTTTTTTCGTGCAGTGAATCCTTTCTAGAGCCATTGCATATGAGCTCCTGTGCAGGAAGTAGTGGGCGAAGAGGCTTCTTTTCTGGCATTTCTGAACATTTATTAGATGTGTTATGAGTTGAGAACAGAGAGAAGAGTGAATAAGGCTGACTGAGTATCAGAAAACTTTGCCGGCTTTTTATGTTTTTCCCCTTTCGATGATAGGGTCTCTTCATTTGTTGCTGGAATGTTTGTCAAACAAAGAAGTTTGTCGGGTGGCGGAATCAGTCTCAGCCGGTTCACAAGTCAGTGGCCTGTACTAGCGCTGTGTGACAGGATAGCAAACAAAGAAATTAGCCCCACTCTCCTTTTCACGACTTCCGATTCGCGAACGTACATCGACCCGAACATCCAGCTGATCATTCTTTGCTTCTTCTCACCGGGCGACCGCAGCTCGTCCCCATTCTAAATCAGAGAAGGGCCAGTAATATACGAGGGAGGTCAAGTCAACATGCGGCTACCTAAAGCGGGACATGGTCTTACTCTGGTGGGTTCATCATGTCCTTTCTGAGGGTGGTACTTTACCACCAGAGATTGGATAATTCAGCGGCCACCTGTGGTATATGTACTGGATAAACTCGGGAATACTCACATTTCAGAAAAACCTTAGCCCCTGAGATCTAGAGAGACTTCAACAGCAGTTTTCAAGATAAGTTCAATCAATCAAGAAATCACGACAATTGGTTCACTCAGTACTAGCGTATATGGATATCTTATATATCGATATGAACTTAATGCATGAGTAGTGCGTTATCAGGATGACAGTACAATACCATAAATACACGTGCTCCAACAGCAGCTGACTACGCCTTAGCGCTAAACCTGAAAGGGAGAGAAATATAACAAATTGGACCCACTTTATTGGTGACCTCACGCAGTCAAGAGGAGCAAGAAGAGTGTGGTTTGGCCATAACGGGTCACCTGTCGCTGCGGTGGTACACCGTAGCGTCAGATAGGGCCCGTTCGCGCTCCCTCGTAGGGAGGCAATATGTCTGTATTGTGTATTGTAGTGGATTCTATATACAGAGGGAAGGCGGGAGGGACAAAATCGAGACTTGACTGCGTGAGAGATGACGAGCTAACCGCAGAGGCAAGCAACTGACTTCGTGAGGCAGTTGTAGGAGGAAGAGGCCCTCCGTATTGTCGGTGTAGTCATCACGTGAGGCTACAGGCATTGTGAGGCAACCCCAATAAAACTACTTCCTTTATTGGTGACCTCACGCAGTCAAGAGGAGCAAGAAGAGTGTGGTTTGGCCATAACGGGTCACCTGTCGCTGCGGTGGTACACCGTAGCGTCAGATAGGGCCCAAATGACCCGGGCCAAACTAGGATGGTGGAGGGGACGGTGGTGGAACTACCAGAGACAGCGGAGCCGGCGAGCTTGTCTGGAACTGGTGATTGAGCTTGTACAGAACGGACGCGTTCGTCGTAAAATACACCCTGAATGCCTCTGAGGTCCATCTCCCCAGCATCTGAATCTGATCGTCGAGTATCCCACTATCATGTGCATGCTGAGCTGCCCCCTTCCGAAAGCTGTGCCCCGAGTAGCCGTCTGCCTGTATCCCAAGTGCTCTTAGCTTAGTAGATAAGGTCGAGAGAAAGCTGTTGCGACTGAATGGTCTTCTGTAGAAGGAGAACAATGGGGCGTCGGGCCCTCTAGGGTCGAGAAGTAGCAGCTTCTGAAGGGCATCAACTGGGCATGCGCCGTCTCCCGTCCTTGCAAGAATAATTTGCACCCCTTCGTGGCGTCGGTCCGTCTTACTGCGCTTGAGTGTGAGTTGTGCGTGGTCTAACGAGGACGAGAATCTGACGTCGGAGCGCGTTAACTTTGTGGCTGAGAAGATAGAACGTGTGCTGAGGTCTTCAGTCTTGTAGGTAAATTCTCCGAGGCGAAGGAACCCAGCAAATGCTACCCGGCATGCGGTTGCGAAGTTCAAGTCGTCTAGAAGGTTCGTAGTCATCTCCAAAGGCCGTAACGGGAGTGCGGCGAGGCCCGCGGATAGTTTCGTAATAGTGTCACGCGAAATCGGTTTTCTGACCCGTACTTTTGTGATGGGGTTCAGTCTTCTAGCGCCGTCTATGAGACGTCGAAAATGCTTGTTATCGAAGAGTTTATCGTCAAGGAAGTTATCGATATGGTAGGCTCGGAGAGCGGCTAGGTCGGCGAGTGCGGTGTCAGGCTTGACGGCCTTTTGGCTGGCGTTACCAAGGAGTCGTGAGCTGATCCATGAGGTCAATGAGTGTCTTGAAACTGGCCAAGCGGATAAATTATGTAACGCGCAGTGCTTTTCGTAACTGCGCTGAACGGAGAGGTAAACGGAACGTGTGTTGGCGCTGAGTCCGTTCCAAAGCAGTTTTAGGTGGCCGGCATTGAGCTGAGGAGCTCGTGAAGAGAACCACGCGGGCGGTTCAATACCGAGAGGTCCTGCCAATGGGGACAAATGTTAGCAATGTCTTCAAGGTTGTTACGTGAGAGCGCGTCTGCTAATGTATTTTCCCCGGAGGGCAGCCAGTGTGGCACAATGTGGATGTCTCTCGCCGCCGCTAGGATAAGCAGGCTCTTCAGAGGTGCGTTGGGCGGACCATGAAGGAAGCCTTTCTTTAATCCCGTGTGCGCTGTGGAGCTATCCGTGTGGATAACGAGAGTATGATGGAGCCAATGGTGGCTGAAGAGTAGGAAGCCTTGTAGAATAGCATCTACTTCGTTGGTATTGATGTGCGCATGTGCGTCTTGAGCAAGGGCCAATGTGGCAGCATTGCTTGGATGAAGCTGGTGACAATGGGCCCGCCAGCAGTCTAATGTAGACTTGGATGAGAAGAAGAAGAGTCCCTGGCCTGTACTGGAGGCATCTGTGTAGAGATGCGTGATGGTGCGGCGGCAGGGGTCAATTAGGAGTACGCCGTTGAAGAGAGACAAGGAGTCCCTCCACCATTCCAAATCGTCACGTACCTCGTAAGGCATACGGCGGCGCGCACTACTCCCATGTGGGAAAGCGGCTTGGAAGGTGTATAGGGACTGTAGCCTTGTTCTTCCAAGCCGGACAACTCTTGAACAGAAGGCTAGTAGGCCTGTGAGGCGCTCTGTTTGCTTGAGGGAGAGACTCGCTGCGTTCAGGGAAGCTGCGGCGTCCAATGTGGCGCGGCACAACTTTTCTGGCGGCAGGCGAGCTTCCATTGCAATAGAGTCGATCTGGATACCTAGGACTGTAACACAAGTCCCTTGCTGGTCCTTTTTGGGGTTGCGAGGGATACGCAGGTAGTCGGTGACTCTGCTGTAAACCTCATCAAAAGGACCCGTAGGGTCGGACACTGAGGGAGACTGAGTAATTGCGATGAAGTCGTCTAGGTAATGATTGATATGGAATGCAGGGAGGAGGCATTGGAGTATCCAATGGAGTGCCTCGGCGAAAAGATTGAAGAGAAATGGGGCCGTTGCGAGGCCAAAAGGGAGACAGCATTCGACATAGGTAGAATTGTTCCACTTAAAGGCAAGGAGATGCTGGTTATCCTCGGCAACAGGGACTATTCGGAAGGCGTCCTTGATATCCCTCTTGATGATTGTGCAACCTGGGCTAGCTTGTACGACTTGCTCGTAGATATTGTCGATTGTCATATATTCAATGGCTGACCAGGAGTCCGGTATGCTCTGGTTAAGGCCTTGTCCAGGGGGCCAAGATAGATCATGGATGCGGCGCCAGCCCCCGTCGTGCTTAGAAACTAACCCAAGCGGTGAAACGAAAGAGGGCCCAGAGGCTACTCTAATACGACCGAGACTGAGATCCTCCGCTAGTTTGGCCGTGATCATGCCGGGTTTGTGTATGTGATGGTTGGAGGAACATCGAACCTGGTTCTTGCCCCTGTAGCCGACCTGGGCACCGTAGGTCAGAACGCCAGCGATAGTGGGCCCGAGATCACCTGGATAGTAGTGTAGAAGATTGCTCCAGCCTTTCGCATATAGTGGTGACGGAGAGGACTGTAACCTTGGGAGCTTTGGGTTGAAAACGGGGTATTGAACAGCAGTGTTTGGTCTAGGTGGTTGTCCGCGCGGTATGAGGCTTAGGGATAAGGGATCCAGAACAACGCTGTCGGTTTGACCAGTGTAATTCTCTAGAGCTGTCACTTGCTATTTCTTCTTGCGGCAGGAGGAGGCGCCATGCTCGCTCAGGCCGCATGCCGTGCAGTCGTGACGTCTCTTGCAGCCTTCCCAGGAGCAACCTGTCGTATTGAACTTGTCGCAAATCTCTGACTCATTATTCGAAGATCTGGTATTCCTAGTCTGACGAGGCCGGGTTGGAGGGTTTGTTGGTGACTTCGCAGGTAGGGTGAGATCGTGGCGGAGGTATTTTTCGCGAAATGGGCCTGTGACCAGGTAGTTGTCCGTCGATAGCTCTCCTTTATCCAGGATATATTGGTGAAAATTAAGGGCAAGTGGGAGAACTGCCTCCGACCACTGATAAGTCTGAGCGAAGTCCAGGATCTGCCTCATAAACATGAGTAGGTTGGGAACTGCCTTAGGATGTTTCTCGCCGAAGAGATATCCTACAACGGCCAAATAGGCAAGAAAGCAAGTCGTCCATATTTGAGGGTTGGAGCCCCAGTCCTTAAGCGATGCTGCGGCCTTCTTAAAGCCTACTGTACCCCCTGACTCGGTCATCTTGAAGACTCTGTCCTCCTGATCTAGCTCGGTGACTGACTTCTCTTTGAAGCGTATGAGTTCAGTCGCCTTCAACTTTCTCTCGAAGACGCGAAGAAGAAGGGCGGCGGAGACACCCGGAAATATGTCGATGAGTGGTTTGACCTCGGGGGGGTGGCTCACGGTTTTCTTCGAGATTATCGTCATCTTGCAGGTCCGCACGAGGCCTTCTACGGCGGAGATCGGTCTCCGCTACATCCAATTCAAGGCGCCTGGCCCTGTCTCTCTGTATCTGTCCTAACCAGCTGGCACGGTCTGTCGCACCCATGGTTTCCCAAATGTGGGCCGGCGGCCAAGCGGAGTCGAGCGGGGCAGGAGTGACACTGCTAGACTGACTGAACGTCATGGTGGGGAGCGATATACTCAAGGCTTATCGGTGCTGTTGCCGTAGAGAAGGACGTGAAACACAAAATCGAGACTTGACTGCGTGAGAGATGACGAGCTAACCGCAGAGGCAAGCAACTGACTTCGTGAGGCAGTTGTAGGAGGAAGAGGCCCTCCGTATTGTCGGTGTAGTCATCACGTGAGGCTACAGGCATTGTGAGGCAACCCCAATAAAACTACTTCCTTTAACCTATTTTGGACTTCAGTTTCCCAAAAAGTCCACTCCCTTCCATTTCACATCTGCCTGCCTTTACGCGACAGCCTTTTGGATTTTGACCATACAGAATGCGCGGCGAAGTACGTGCCAACCTATTGCTGCTCAGGGTTCTCCATGTAATTGGTGTTGCCCTCTTCTGTTTCTTTTCCAGCCTTGAACCGCAAAATACGGACAGCCCAAAATTCCGGTGTGGCTCTCAATACCATTATTGTATCTAAGGCCACACAAACCCCTACAGGAAATAATGGAAACCCATATACTGACTCATTAGATCTGTCATCTTCACATAGGCCAGGCTGGTACCCAACTGGGCAATGCTGCCTGGGAGCTGTAAGTCTTGATTCTCTTGCAATTCATTCTGCAATGACTCACTATTGATTGATGAGGTAGTTATCTGCTCGAGCATAATCTTCTGGCCGATGGTCATATCAATCCTGATTATGTCAAAGAACTTGACCAGAGCGGCTCGTATGAGACATTTTTCACTGAGACAGCCAATGGCAAATACGTCCCACGCTCCATCTTTATCGACCTTGACCCTTCGGTGCGTAAAGAGTGGCAACGAAGTTGACATGAAATTTTGACTGATAAATTGGTGGTGCTATAGCCTATCGACGAGATACGCACTGGTACCTATCGCCATCTGTTCCACCCTGATCAGCTGATAAGCGGAAAGGAAGATGCCGCTAATAATTGTACAACCCCCAGAGATCTTGAAGACGCATGCCAAACAAACTAATGTATTCTAGATGCTCGAGGCCATTACACTGTTGGTAAATTGCTCATGGGGGGGCGTTGTCGACCGGATTCGCCGCGTAGCTGGTGTGTATATGAGTCCTCCCTCTTTGGCTACGATATGTAGACTAATTTTCTTCCAGATAATTGCGCCTCTCTTCAGGGATTTCTACTCTTCCATTCCTTTGGCGGCGGAACAGGTTCCGGTCTCGGTGCACTCTTGCTCGAGCATCTTTCTACGGAGTATTCTAAGAAGACCAAACTGGAATTTGTCGTCTACCCGTCCCCGCGTGTGGCAACTGCAGTGGTGGAACCCTACAATGCCGTCCTCTCCGCACACGATACTATTGAGAACTCTGATTGCACATTCCTCGTTGACAATGAAGCTGTGTACGATATCTGTAAGCGCAACCTCGACATTCCTCGCCCTGGGTATGACCATCTCAACCGTGTTGTGGCCCAAGTTGTTAGCTCTGTTACTTCCAGCTTGCGCTTCAATGGTGCCTTGAATATCGACTTAAATGAGTTTCAGACAAATCTTGTGCCGTTTCCGCGAATTCAATACCCCCTCATTTCGTATGCTCCTGTCATATCTAGCACCAACAGTGGCCACGAGAGCTTCAAGGTCAAAGACTTAACCTTACAGTGCATGTGCTTCCTCTCCATTTAATTCAACTATGCTTCGTACTAACTACTTGACAGGCTTGGAATCTAAAAACCACATGGTTGTTTGCGATCCACAGAATGGCAAGTACATGGCTGTTGCCCTTCTGTACCGAGGTGATGTTGTGCCTCACGATTGTACCCAGGCTATGGCTCACATTAAGGCCAAAGCCTCTTTCAACTTGGTTGAGTGGTGTCCAACCGGTTTCAAACTGGGGATTAACAACCAAAAGCCCATGAACGTCCCTGAGAGCGAGCTTGCTTCTGTCGACCGGTCGGTTACCATGCTCTCCAACTCCACCGCCATCGCCGCGGCATGGCATCGCCTTGACTACAAATTTGACCTCATGTTTTCCAAACGTGCTTTTGTCCACTGGTACGTAGGTGAGGGCATGGAGGAAGGAGAGTTCTCCGAGGCTCGCGAGGACTTGGCTGCTCTGGAAAAGGATTATGAAGAGATCGCCAGTGATACTCTCGGCACGGACGTGGATGTGGGCCTTGAGTACTGATTACTCCTTTATTTTGTTATTATGATTTTACATCTAGAGTTTGTCTCTCTACGAAAGATCTTTTGACGTTCGTATCTCAACATTTCCATTCCTATGGTATCTCGCTCGAGTTGGGATTTAGATCTTATTTCTCAGATGTTAAATCAGTTACCATTTTACAGCCAACCCTAATTCGTCTTTTTGCAGTCGGCCTCCTCGTTTTCATGGAGAGGACTCTGGTAATTCTGATATTCGTGACTGGTATTCTGAAATCCATTATTCGCGGTCTTACAGACATTACTGGTGCCAGGCACGGCGCAAAATGGCTGAGAGATGCTAGCGTGTTGCGGGCGCTCGGTTCCAGTGTTCTTTTCGGAGATCTCGGATGGGTTATGTGCGGATTTTAGAACAAATTCGGCAGAGTCAAAGTAGGTACGGTGCTGCGAAATATTAGTCTTCCAACTCACGAAAGCTGTTTAGACTCCGAACTCAACCTTTGATCCTTCGGAAAATAGCTTCTCTCGGAGAGGAACAACGCCGTAGCGCCGAACTGCCAGGGCGTTTCTGTCGAAGGGTGGCTTCGATAATTAACTGAAGCCTGTAACTCACAAATTTGTTAGAAAGCTTACTTTAAAATCTGTGTACGCTTCATTTTCGCCTGGCATGTTGCAGAAAGAGTTGTAGGGAAGGGATTACTTACGAGTGGCATATTGCTTTGTTTATAGAAAGGCGCTTTCTCACATAATACTTTACCCGGCATGATGTCATGCCACCGCCTGTGACTCATTTCGTTGAATATGGGGCAAGAGAGTCAGGATCACGTGGCGTAAATCGAAACCTTAAGGATTGTGTTCCATTGATGGCAACTTCTTCTTGGAGTATGAGTCGCTATCCAGATTGTCAAGGGCCCGAAAACATGGTTAGCTAGCTACATGGTGGGGGCAATAAGCAACGAGCTTTCCCCATCCTGACAATATCTTTTAATGGGTAGTGCCCGTGCATTTTCACTAGCTCTTCAATATTTATATAATATTTCTATGATACAGAATATTCGACGAGTTACTATGAAGAAATGTACGCAGACATGTTCCATCATCAACTTTACACACCTACGCATCATGGCGTTAGCTCGAAACAACTTTACGCTATCCGCAGATAAGGGGTCCTGTTATACCCCGAAGATGGGAAGGCAAAATCCTTCTCAGGCATACATTTATGTGAGCAGAAAGGACACAGACTAAAAAGAAAGTGGGTGTGACGTCCCTCTGGATATACCTGTATAGGAAGACTCTGGGAGCTCGGCATTGCATGACCGACTACGGGAAACAAAATAGATCTAAGCTGTTTGCATTTCATTATTTCTTCTTATTTGGCTTTCAGGCACCGCTGTTAGCACCCATACGGCGGTTCTAGTATTAAAGGTAATCCTGCCATTTTGGGTTTGTTATCCTACTCCAAGCAAATCATTTCTCACACTTTCAAGTCTCACACTCAGGCTTGGGCTCCAAACCCCAAACAATCAATAATGATGAGAACAAGACGACGTTAAGTTAAACTTTGATCGCCATAAATTTCTCATGTTGCCAAGCAAATTCACATACTGGAGACACAATTCGAATTACCTATCAATAGTCATGACATTGGCGAGACTGCGTACTTGATTTCGATAGAGGCAATGAACGGGACATCAAACCCAATATTTTCGTGCCATCCTCGACCCAATGGTAGCAGCCCTGCGGGGTGAAATAGTGGCTCATATTGAGACTCACCCGGACTCCCGGCAGCCTGTGGTCTTCGATATACATGCTGTCGTTGGATGCTATGGATACTAATGATATATGCCAAGAAATGATGGGCCAATCGGTGCCGTGAATGACTCGAATGCACCAAAACCTTTAGTCTGCTACGTGGAGAAGACTGCTCGGATGAGCAATTTGACTAAATAGAATAGATTTCTGTTGTTTAGGGGGTATGAGTCGTCTTATTAGTTCTCGAGGGAAATATGAGGCTATATATACAATATGGAGCCAAGTTGATTGTAAATCAAATTGATTGTCTGTATAGACATCTCGGAGCTAATTCCGATGGTGCGGCTTGCTTTCTGATTTGCATCGGCCTCATATCACAACAAGCCACATTGCAACCCTGTTTATCAACCAGCCCAACCACAGAATTGGTCATGTTCATTCGAGTTTTCGTATCTACCTCAAAATATCATAGTGAGTATATCGGACCTATCTAAAAGAGGTCAGGCTGATACAGGCTATGATACAGCGTTGTATGTAGTGATCTGTACAGCCTCATCTCACAATATAGTCCCTTGTTCTCCCGCCTGATCGATCTTACTGTACCGATCTTCATTTCTTACGATTCTTGAAATTTTGTGGATTGACAGATAGCTTCAGCACAAGAGCTATAGAATTCCTGCTGTGCTCGACCGTGACATTGTTATCATCTGAAGTTATAAACATCCCCTGTGTCAAGCTACAGACAGGGAATGGAGCTAAGCGGGCTGGCATTGTAGGATCGCAGCTCTGCACGGATTCTTTTTCACCAGGCCCCATAATATACAATCATTCTTTTGTGGACTCATTTCTTGCGTTATCCGCACGCCGACTTTGGCCCAGTCTGCACAGTCATAAAGCTTTTTTTCACTTTCATGGTGGGCTTTGCCCCCGCTTGTAGGTCTCAGTCGGAGTACGTCGCCCGGTAAGCAGACCCATAGCTTTCGAGATATAAGTGGCATTTTATGAGCAGGTACAGGGTATCAGGAACTCCCTCGGCAGGCCCTAGTAACCCTCCGCTCCCGGAATCTTCATCCGGGATATTTGTAGGGTCTATTGTCCTGTAGGCAGATCAAAATAATATTGCAAGTACAAAAGATGTCACGTTTTGCAACTGGTAGATCCATGCAGGATGAATAAGCTACTCCAAATCAACAGAGCTAATGGTCGCCATTTCGATCGGCCACGGATTTGTTATGTTTTTTGACTTCCTTCGATTCGGATTTAGGATCCAATTCGCCACTTTCGGTGTTGGGTCCTTCCCGGTATATTTTGAGGCTGTCGTATTTATGGCTTTCTCCTTTCGCTTCGGGGGTTGCAGGAACCGAATTTGGGATTTCTAAAACAGACACGTCATTGTCAGCCTTACCAATCTACGCAGGAAAACAGCGACTTGGGTGAGACGAGTACCGATAGTCATCGTTTCACTAGGATAATCCGAGCAATTTCACAGAGAGCGGGTTCCTCCCAGCGAAAGTGTTAGGACAATCCCCGGAGGGCGTCCTGATACGATAAGGATACGAGTGAAGAATGTGAGATATGCCTGATATGGGTATGATGATATTCAGACTAATCGCTGGTCCTCCTAAGAAGATCCAGCTCCTCCTTTTGAGGGGATCCTCTGTGCGTATGCAAGCAGGTAAGCGAGGTGATGTATCAACAGGCGGCCCCGGTGGTGGATAGGCACCTCCTCCGCATTTCCTATACCTCACTGTACGGTTGGTGTAACATTATCACCCTTCTTCGTAGCGCTGCGACCCGAAGTGCTTGGTAGTTGGATGATAGATGAAAGATGGATGAGCCTATACCGGTGGCTTTGGGTGCTTGCGTGGACGTCCCCGACGTCGCTTTGGTGCACTTTTTGGCAGTACACCATCCTTTCTAGGCCGTCCTCGTGGCCCTTTGGGGGTTTTTGCAGTTTCGGTTCTTGGTTTCTTCGCATTTAACTGTCCCTGTTGCCCTTCGAATATCTCCAGTGCTTCTGTATCCTCCATGTTAGAGCGTGGCTCCCAGGTATTCTCGCTGTCGCCGTAACCCTTCCATTTGACCAGATATCGTACTCCTCGGCCCCACCGCTTTGCCTCCAAGATACGCTCCACGTAGAACTCAGGAGCACCGTCAACCATCACAGGGTCAGGGTGCTCATCCCGTACGGGAGGACCTTGGTACGGTTCAAGACGCGAGACGTGCTGGGTCGGATGGACATTGCGGTAGCGGGGTGTCATGATGAGCTTATAAGCCTGTTTACCAGCTAGGCCGGCGATCTGGAAGGGTCCCACACGCTTGTGGTCAAGCTTCTCGTTCGGGCGGTCCCGATCCATGTGCCTGTTATCAGCCATTACCCAATCTCCGATGCGGAACGTCATCTCTTGATGCTTGCGGTCATATGCCTTCTTCATATTCTCTTTTGAGCGTTGGAGACGGTGCTCCAGCTCTCTGCGGAGGCTTTGAATAGCTGTGGTGCGGTGTTTCGCATCTGCATGAACAGGCATGGAAGGATTGTTCACGGAGGTACGTAGCTCCGGTCGTGCGCCATAGAGAGCTTCAGCAGGTGAGATGCCCAAGGCACTGTGGGTCGTCGTATTATATACGAATTGTGCGAGGGGCAGCCACTTTGCCCAGTCGTTCTGCCTCCAGTACACGTAGTGTCGCAGGTAATACTCCAGCGTTTGGTTCTGCCGCTCTGTCTGCCCATCTGTCTGTGGATGGTAGGCAGTTGATAGGCGACGACGAGTGCCCAGCTGGTGGCAGAAGGATGACCAGAATTCGCTCGTGAACAGGGTTCCTCTGTCACTGACGAGATTCTCAGGCATACCGTAATGGGTCATGACCTTCTCGTAGAATAGGTCTGCTAGGCCTGCGGCGTCTAGCTCCTTGGTGGTAGGCACATACAATGAGTGCTTTGTGAAGAGGTCGACCACGACCATAATGGCATTGTAGGTCTTTCCATCCCACTTGGATGATGGCAGGCCGGTGATGAAGTCGACGCTCATCCACTGCCATGGCTGCTGAGGCACCGGCAGTGGTTCCAGTAAGCCGTATGGCTTGTGTCGATGCACCGCATCGAGCTGGCAGGTGTGGCACTGCCTCACATACTCCTGGATCTGTGGGCGCATACCATCCCAGTGATACTTGCTCCGGATAGCTTCATATGTGCGCTTCTCCCTGTAGTGGCCCGCGTACGGGTCATCATGGTGCACCTTTAGGATCTCAGCAATAAGGGCTGGCTCACGGGGGATGAAAACCCTGCCGTCAAACCGTAGTAGTCCCTCTTCTGACCTGCTCCAGGGAGTGCCTCCCAAGCGTCCTGCACCGCCTGTTGCCCCTATCTTGTGGTTAATCTGCTGCAGCTGCGGGTCTTGAGCTTGCATTCCGCGGATGTATTCAACCATAGAGGCGGTAGACGTGGCATTCAGCGTCGTCTCTCCTGCTAGGGCCTGTCTGGCCCTTGCTCGGGTGGATAGAAGCTCTAGGCTATCGATACCACCAACAGCTTGGCACTCCTGGCCTTGCATTAGGGTAGCAGCCATTGTAGGCGCTTCAGGGTCATCGTCTGCGAGTGGTCCCTGTTTGAGGCTGGCTCTCAGCTTCTCAAATAGCTTCTGCTGGTATGGGTCGACCTGATGCGAGGGCGCATCGCGGGCATAGTCTGGCCTTCTGCTAGGCGCGTCCGCGGGGTTCTTGAGACCTGGTTTGTGGAGGATAACGAAATCAAAGGCAGCGAGGCGCTCGGCCCAACGTGCTTGCCGCTTCGATAGCTCCTTGGTGCTCATGAATGTCCTCAGGTTTGCATGGTCTGACCATACTACCACGGGCTTCTGCGTCCCTTCTAGGTAGTGGCGCCACGTCTTGAAAGCGTTGACGATAGCTAGCATCTCCAGGTCATGAGTCTCATAGCGCGTCTCCGCGGAGATCAACTTTCTTGAATAGAAAGCGACTGGGTGCCACTGGCCATCGTCTTGCTTTTGTGAGTAGATTCCAGAGATAGCATACCCTGATGCGTCTGTCTCTAGCTGTGAATCTCTCGATGGATCAAAGTGGGCTAGCACAGGGGCGTCTTTAAAGCATTGTTTTGTCTCCTCAAATGCCTCTTGGGCCGCTTGAGTGAAGATGAAACCTTCCTGCTTCTTGTTCCGCCCCTTCTTCTGTGCATCAGGGCCCCTGATGAGGTCGTTCAATGCAGCTATCTTAACACTGTAGTGCCGTATGAAACGCCTATAGAAATTGGCAAAGCCAACGAATTGCTGCACATCAAAAATACTCTGAGGTGCAGGCCAGCTCATGATGCTGTCAATTCTGCTCTTGTCCATCTCAACACCTCTTGGTGTGACGATGAACCCCAGGAATTCCACTTGTGTGGTATGAAACAGGCACTTGGAACGCTTTACGTATAACCGATAGTGCCTGAGCCTGGATAGTACCTCTCTTACATGGTGCCGGTGCGACTCCTCATCATTTGAATAGATGAGTATGTCGTCCAGATACACCACTACGAACACATCTAGCGTGTCGCTGAGAGCGCGGTTGATGTAAGCTTGGAAGGTTGCTGGTGCATTGGCCAATCCAAAAGGCATCACGCAGTACTCATAGTGTCCGTACCGCGTCCTAAACGCGGTCTTCCACTCATCACCTTCCTTGATACGGATGCGGTGATAGGCGTCTCTGAGATCTAGCTTTGTGTAGATATTCGCGCCTGCGAGGCGATCAAGACTCTCCTGCACCAGTGGTAGCGGGTGTCTGTTTTTGATCGTGACCTCATTCAACCCTCGGTAATCGACGCATAGTCGGAGGGAGCCATCCTTCTTCTGTACGAAGAGGATAGGAGCACCTGCTGGACTCTTGGATGGACGAATCCAACCTCGATTGAGGTTATCCTGCAGGTATTTTCTTAGCACTTCTAACTCATTGGGTGACAATGAATAGATTGGCCTGTGTGGTGGCTGCTTGCCTGGGAACAGGTCGATAGCATGATCATGCGAGGTATGTTCTGGTAATCTGTCAGCATTATCCGAATCAAAAACGTCTTCGAATTCTTCATATTCCAGTGGCAGTGTCTCTCCCTCATGTATCATATTAAGGTGGATGGAATCACCCCAGGGCTGGCACCATAAGATGCCAAGCATTCCTCCTCGGCGAACCTCCTTGCGTATCTTGCCGGCATCGACAAATGCAATGAAGGTGTTCTCCTCCTTCTGCTGGGAAGATGGAGATCGCCAGAGCCAGGTGCCTAGCGCCCAATTGATGTCTGGGTTGGCGTGCTGCAGCCAGTCATAGCCCAGGATAATGTCATATCCCTGCATGTTGACTGCTTCGCACGTCACATCTTCGTTGCGCATGGCTCCCGACGCGTCGGTAAGCTGGAGCTCCATGTCCCTGCTTCCGTACGACTTAATCTGGTGGCCGTCCACTGCAGTGACGAGCCTGGGTGCTTCCTGCGCGGCGCGCAGTTGCTTCTTTGCCCATTCTTGGCTGACAAAACTCTTCTGAGCTCCTGAATCGACTAGTGCCCACACGCACTGCCATCCTACGGGTGTAGCCACGAGGATCTCACATGCGAGGGCAGAGGAACGGTTCCGCCATGGTTTGACGACGAGACCTAGTACTGATGCGGTTTGCAGTGCTAGGTCATCTATTTTTTTGACTTGTGAGGCCAGTCCGCAGGGAATCCGTGCTTCCTGTAGCAGACATCCTCAGTGTGTCCAGTTAGCTTGCAATGTGTGCACTGCTTCCTGTCTTCCGCGTCATCGCGCTTCCTCTTTTCGCCCGTGTTAGGTACTTCCTCTGGTCGCGGTGGTCGGTTGGACGACCCCTTAAAGCCCCCACGGCCCTTTTTGACGGAGTGCTGGCGGTCATTCTTGTGCTGACCTTGAGGGTTTGAAGGCCTCTCGGCAGGCTGATGTGAGGTGTGCTCCTTCTTCTTGATAGCAGTCTGCCTTTCCGGGAGTTGCTTCTCGATCTTTTCGTAGAAACGCAGCCACGCATTGTACGCGTCGCCTTCTGCTGGCTTGTTGACATACTTGCGAGCTTCTACGCTGATTTCCTCAACAAGGCCTGACCTTAGCCTCTCAATCTTCTGTTCACGCGTGCGTTCCGGCCGCATGAGCCTCTCCAGCTGCACTAGCTTAGTGGAGTACTCGGTGACGCTCTGGTTCTTGTACTGCTTGGTACGGTACCATTCGTCGACGCTATCCTTCGCTACCATGTCTGGGTCTGCTACAAGAGAGGTTGCCCAATCTTCGAAGGTTCGCCAGGTGAGGTTCTCACGTGCGAGGTTTTCTCGGTAGTTTAACCACTGGCTCGTTCTCTCTTCATCTAGAAGCCCGGCAGCTGCGTCGACCCTTCTTCGGTCTAGCTGGTAGAAGGTCTCATGGCGTAGGAAATGCACCACCATCTGGTTCTTGAATCGCATCCAGTCTGCGAGGTCCTTGGCAGTGAATGGAGAGATAGATGGTAGCGGTGGCACTTTATCGTTTGTGGTTGTTGAGGACGCTGCGCTCCTTGGAGTTCTAAGCCCGGTTATAGTGCTTGGGGCTGTCGAAAACTCCGTCGGCTGCGGAGACGGGGCTCGAACAGGTGGTATTAGTGTAGTACTTCCTTCCTGCGACCACGATGGGTCCCAGGACGACGATCCATGGGGCACAGGCACGAGAGGAGGGCCCATAGCTGCCAGCCGCGCCTCTTGCCTCTGCTGTTCTTCGCGCATATCCAGCACCTTCTGTTGCCTTTCGCGTATCTTTTCTTGAGCCTTCACATAGCGGTCCCAATTCGCGAGATCCGCTCGTTGCTTGTTCAGGTCGCGCTTCGTGATACGCTTCGGCGGAGGAGCCACGGCGATGACGGGTTCCTCTGGGGCATCTGACTGCGCCGAGACGGATCGAGCGTGCGAGGAATCAACTTCGTCCTCCACTGATGCACGCCGGGCACGGGTTCGGGTGAAAGGCATTCTCAACTCGACGGTCGCATCCGAGATGAAGCGATTAGAATGTTAGGACAATCCCCGGAGGGCGTCCTGATACGATAAGGATACGAGTGAAGAATGTGAGATATGCCTGATATGGGTATGATGATATTCAGACTAATCGCTGGTCTTCCTAAGAAGATCCAGCTCCTCCTTTTGAGGGGATCCTCTGTGCGTATGCAAGCAGGTAAGCGAGGTGATGTATCAACAGGCGGCCCCAGTGGTGGATAGGCACCTCCTCCGCATTTCCCATACCTCACTGTACGGTTGGCGTAACAAAATATATATATTGGTTTGATATATGGGGAATGGAACATGGCACCCAACGTTGTTCGAACGGGCTCAAAATAAATCGGATGATGATGTGGGATATGGGAAATCTACCCCTGAAATTCCAAACAAAAAACAAAAAAAAAAATATCGTCACTAAACTAAATATGGTGGTTTACGGTGTTGGTGGTGGTGACTGGTCACAATTGGCGGCTGGCGGTTAACCCCATCAAAAAATCTTACAATTTTCTGGTGGGCAAAATAAATATTGAACATGCTCTGATTAGGCACAAACTTGGGTATGTAATAAAACTAATCCTAAATTAAAATTACCAGTATCTGGAATTCTGTGACCCCGTTCTGCTAAATTCAATGGGCCCTGTCCCCACGTTATATCTTCATACATAACAAAACCCTAAAATATCCAAGGGGGCTCATTGAATTTACCCCCATGGGATAGGCATTCGCTCATTTGCCTTCAACTCCACGGATTCACCGCACCTCCACCGAGATCTGTTTCCCCCCTGTCTCATCCATTCGTATCTTAGTCGGCTAATGGAGCTTCTTCGAATAGACCGGGAAGTAGTTGCACCTCTTTGAGGGATTGGACAACCCTCCGGCTCCGGGTCGTATCATTCATTCAATTGAATGGGACCGAGATTGACCAATCGGAAGTGTTCAACGGTGACGTCTCGAGAACGCAGGATCCTAGAGTCAGACGTGAACATTATTTGGAAAGTGGATCTATTAAGAACACGAGCAAGGTTGCTAACGGTGATCTTGAAATCGATGCCTTCGTGGCGTTTTTCTGCCGACAGCCAGAGCCTCAGACGGAGTATCAGGCAGAGCCTCAATCAGCATCTCGTGCGGGGCCTCGACATGGACCCCCGCCACGGCGGCAATCGCGAAAATGATCGAGATGCTCGCCTCTTCACTGGCTTTCCTATAAGCGTGCACCGGCTTAACGCTGTAACTCTCTCGATTGGGATTGTGATATTCACGAGCGATTGGTGGGGCTGTTTTATCTGTTTGTCATAATACCTATGAACTGTTCCTAATTTCTGGATCGCTGTCCGGACGTTCTCTTCGCGCTAAGATTGTCCAAAACCCGAAATTATCTCACACACCAATAATCCGCAGAACCACGTTGATCCGGTAATTGTAGCCGCCCTAGTCCTCGGTGTTGTGATATGAGGCTGGTGCAGATCACAACATTCCCCCTCAGGATCGCTTTGCTGGCAGAGCGATACTGGAATTGCGCAGAGCAGTCAGGCCTCAGTAAAACCACTCAAAACCATGGTGGGAAAATAAAGTGGAAAGAGCGCCTATGTTGTCTTGCATGTAGCCTTTGAGTTTCTGAGGCGTCGATTCCTAAGAGACTACAAAACTTGGCAAAGGCCGTAGGTCCCAATGGCTTGGTGAGACCATCCGCGGCCTGTTCCCCATTTGGAATATATTGAAGCTCAATCTCGCCTGCATCCAGCACGGCTCGCTGATAGTGAAATTTCACATTGAAGTGCTTCGTCCGTTTGTGGAACTCGGGATTGCGAGAAAGCGCAATGGCGGACTGGTTGTCAGCCATGATGTTAGTGACCGGAGACCGATACAGTTGTGTTTCGGCTAGAAAGGTGCGGAGCCACTGCAGATGCAGAATGGCATTGTATTGTCCGATGTATTTGGCATGTGTCGTAGACGTGGCCACTTCCCCTCTCTCTTGGACGACCAGGAAACTGGCGCGCCTGCAAGCTGGAATACATAGCCAGACGTCGAGTATGCACCGTCAGTGACGACAGAGCCCCCGAAGTCGGCGTCTGTATACCCGATTAGCTGTCCACTACGGTAGGTGATACGATGAGACTGCGTGGCTTGGATGTAGCGAAGCAATCGCTGCAGAGCAACTTGATGGTGAGATTGCAGCTGAGACGTGAAGCGACTCAACATGCCCAGTGCAAACGCAATATCCGGTCGCGTGCCAACCATCAGATACATCAACGAACCGATGGGAGTCGCATAACGAGCTTTTGCTTCCTCGTCCAGAAGTGCCTCGTCTGGACGATGATTCAGGGTTTGCTTGGGATTCATCGGCGTAGACTTCGGCTGACAAGTCTCCATGCCAAAGTCGGAGAGCACCTTCTGGATGTACTGGTGTTGGTGAATGGACACGGACTCATCGACGTGATAGTCGAACTGGATCCCGAGGAACGAACGCGGGGTGCCCAGGTCATTCAATTGGAACTCTGTTTGCAATGCTTGTTGCACTTGTTCTATTTCGTGTGGGTTTGCCGCAGCAACGAGAAAGTCATCCACATAAACACAAACGACGCAATCTGGTTTATAGAATACGCAGTTGTCCGATTGGGCCATAGTGAAGTCGTGGGCGGCTAGAACGCGGTGGACGCATTGGTACCAAATCCGCGGGGCCTGCTTGAGGCCATACAGGGAGTGGCGAAGCCGACAAACATATCCTGGCTCTTCGAAGCCTTCGGGCAACTCCATGTAAATGGAGGAGTCAACGTCGCCATGCAGGAATGCAGTGACAGCATCGAATTGGTGGAGTTTCCATCCGCGCAACACGGCACTGGCGACGATGCAGCGGACCGAGTCCATCCGGGACACCGCAGCAAACGTTTCGTGATAGTCGATGCCGTGTTGTTGCCGGTAGCCTTTGATGACCAATCGCGCTTTGCGCGTTCCGTTGGCCTTGGTCTTGAAGACCCATTTGCAGCCAATTACATGATCTGTGGCGGGAAGGTCCTTTCGCGGGATCTTTTCCCATGTTCCGTGTTCGAGAAGCGACGCATATTCTTTCTGGATGGCGGCCCACCATTCCATCTGGTCTGGGCCCGACACCGCTTCGCGAAAGGTTGCCGGGTCGACCTGTTTGGCCGGTGCGGTGTTCAATATGCCGGCTGAGTACACCTTGCCTAGAGATTCTAAGAGACGCCGTGAAGGTCTTCGTCTGCGACCATAGATCGAATGTCCAAGATCCGACGTCAACTCGGTTCCTTGTTGGCTTGGATTGACCACGGGAGGTGTCTCTTCTCCAAGCTCAAATAGCGTTGTCTCGCTCACTCGACGGAGATAGTGGCGATGTAGGTGGTGTTGGCAGCCCGTTGGCTGAACTTGGCATTGATGGAAAGACCGGTGACGGAGGAGCGTTGTCCGGGACGTCATTGCCTGTTTCCCCCTCGACGAGTGGCGCCACCGGGGTCCTCTCGTCGAACTCGACATCACGGGAAAAGACTGTCTTTCCCGAATGGATTTCATAGAGCTTGTACTGATTCGGCTCGCAATAACCTAGCAGTCGGCACTCAGACGATCTCGCTCCGAGTTTTGCTCGATGCTCTTTTGGGATTAAGACCCATGCCCGGGAGCCAATCCGTCGTAGATGTAACAGCGATGGCGGCTTCCCGTAGATAATTTCGTACGGGGTCTTTTTCCGGAGGATTGAAGCTGGCGCGCGCAGCTTCAGATAGACCACAGTGTCCACTAACTCGAACCACCAGGAAGGAGGTAGGTTCGCATCGGACAAGAGCGTGTTGATCCGCTCCCGGATAGTGCGGTTGGTGCGTTCGGCCAGTCCATTCTGTCCTTTGCAGTATGGCGGCGAGGTGTCGAATTCAACTCCCTGGCTTTCGAGGTGTGTTCCGATCGGCAGGTATTCTCTTCCATTGTCGGTGAGGAACCTCTTGATCTGGGCGCCTAACTGTCGGTGCACCCAGGCCTCAAATTGTCGGAACTTCTGGAGCGCTTCATGCTTCCATCTCATGGCATAGGCCCACGAGCCTCGAGAATAGTCGTCAGTAAAGGTGATCACGTACCTGGAGCCCTCTTTGGCCATCGGCATCTCCATGATGTCCGAATGGATCAATTCGAATATTCTCGTTGAATGCAGACGTGGCCGTCGTGCACGGGAGTTCCTCTTCTGATGCTGCTTACCCGACATACACGCTGGGCACTGCGGCGTTGCCTGCAGCTGCGCCTGCGTCAGCGGTCGGTACGGAGTGCCGGTCTGCCGGAGGACCACCCGCAAGTCGCCCCGGTTCAGATGTCCCATCCGAGCGTGCCACAGCGCTTCGGAGGCCTGGCCCACTCCTTTGCCCGCATCTTCTTCGAGTATCCGAGCTTCACCACTGAGTTCAGAGGTTGACGCTGTACATTCTACGTCACTTGACTCTCGAGGGTCGTCGACGTCCATGACCACCGCCTCCGGTTCCAGGGAATCTGCATGGTCATGAGTCGCCGGCGCCCTCGCCAGTTGGACTCGCTCTTGGGATCTCTTGCTCACATGGCACCGCAGGATCAGTAGATCCTCCTCCGCGTGGTAGGCGGTCCCCACAGTCCGTCCTCGGCGTTGCACAAAGACGTTCTGCGGGTGCGCCACCACCGAATAGCGGTCTCGCAACAGCTTCGGCACGCTGATCAGGTTCATCCCAACGCGTGGCGCGAAGTATACATTCTTTAACACCAGGGGTTGGTTGAACTTCCCCCGGAGCGTGAGCTTCACCGTACCAATCCCTTCGGCTTCCACTGGATCGCCCGCCGTGTCCAACATCTCGCGATGGGGCCGAAGACTGCTGAAGCAGCGGCGGTCCCAGCAGATGTGGCTGGTGGCGGCCGAGTCCAGGATCCACCGGGGTGACGGTGCGTGGGTATAAAGGGTCGTCACCCTCGCCCTCACGATATTGATCCGCGGTCTCTTGGAAGTCGGCGGGCCCTGCCGATCTTCCATCTGGCTTGATGGTATGTTTTGTAAATTGCTTCTTGGTGAGCCGGAAGCACTCCGTTCAGCCTTCAGGGCACGGTCCCTGGGCGGTTGTTGTAGTTCACGCTGTTTCTTCCAGCACTCCGCAACTACATGACCGCGCTTCTTGCAGTAGTTACATTTCTTGGTGTTCTTCTGCACCGTGTTGATGGAAGGGTTGCTTGTTCCGCTGGGCACTCGCTGCGGGAACGTCGCAGCGTCCTTTCGCTGCACCGTCTGCTCAGCATTCGCTAGACGGTTGCCGATATTGGACGGGTTGACGGGATCCTTATCATTCTGGATCGCATCCACAATCAGGATGTATTCCGGTCCGATCTGTGTCAGCAGAATCGCGATGTGGGCTTTGTCGCCGATCGATCCAGGGGCGATCGCATTCAATCGGTGCACTAGCATCCGTACACGATCGACAAATTCGCGGGCACTGCCGCAGCGCTCGCCGGTGGTTTCACGAAGCTGAGCGAACAGCTCGCAGAACGTCGCAAGTTCCATCCGCCGGTACCGCTCTTAGAGCTCATTCCAGAGGTCGCGGGATGTCTCCAGCCCCGCGACATGGATACTGATCTGGGGGGGATAGGTACCGGAAGATGGTGTGGTAGGCTTCGGCTTCGCGGCGCGACCATTCACGGTGGCGCTCGAATGCCTGGACCTCCACTTCGAGGCGCGCTTCGATGGCTCGTTGCCTCACCGCCCCAACCAGGTGCGGTTCCACCAGAGGGTGGATGTCCGCCGTGATGGGTTTGGCGTATTTGAACGAGCAGTCAGGACGCTCAAGGTCGCTCGATACGACATCCCAGACCTGCCTTGCCTTGAGGTAGGAGGTCATGAGACGTTTCCATGTTGCGAAGTTGTCGCTTCCTGTCAAAGGCTCAATGGCTGTAACGGCTCGGTCGGGCGAGTCGTGAACCAGAGCCGACATGATGGTTGATGTAAAGCGGGGTAGATATAATCACGAAAGATTAAGATGATTCTCAGATGAGTAGAGACGGCACCCGAGAGTTGCTCCCGGGCTCATAACCTGTTGTAGTTCAGAGGTATAAATTGTGTTATCATTCTAGTGGGAAACATGAGGCTTATATATACAGCGAGAAGATCAAGTTGATTTCCAATCAACTTGGTTCTTCGTATACATACTTCGGGATTAATTCCGATGGTTCGGCTTGGTTCCTGATCTGCACCAGCCTCATATCACAACAATCTCTATAGCAATCCCTAGGTCCTGGCTTACAATACTACAGGCCTTACAAGAGGAAACCCTCGTCTCTTCTGGAAGGAGCATGAGCAAGAATATCCAGTGCTTGCAGCACTAGCCCGGGATATTCTCTCGACTCCTGCAAGCGGTGCTGGTGTTGAACGGCTCTTTAATTGTGCCCGTGATATCTGCCACTATCGCCGAGGCAAGCTCAAACCTGAAACAGTCAAAGAGCTTATGCTCCATTTCTTCTCCTCCAAGTTTGATCTCCAGCAAAGCGAGCTTGATCTAATTAAGGAGTATACCTCAGAGGGAGAGGCTGCTATCCTTAATGAGTCTTGGAAGCCTTCTCCATCACTGAATGACATTGATCCTATTAGTGACGATGAGGAGGAGGGTAGACATCAAACTGAGGAGCTACTAGATGAACCAGAGAGTGATTTGGAGACTGTAGCACATCTTGCACAGACCACAACACAGAGTAAGAGACCACGTCAGGCTATTGAGCCTCAAGAAAGTGATGATGGTGGCCTTCCTCTTCCTGAAATACCAACTGAGGAGGCTACGCAGGGGCAATCGGGGAGGATTCGGAAGAGGCCAAAGATGCCGGATGGCTTTGAGATAGAAAAAAAATCTGATGTAAATAGTCAAGATCATGTAAACTAGCTGAATTCAGAGTCCCGCAGGGTACCTTCACGTTGTTATCAAAGTGTGTACATACTGCTAAGTATTAAATAACGAAACTGCACCCAAAATCCTCAAACTTTTCGATCATACAATACCATGCAGATACACAAAACATACCAAAAAAACTGCATAATCTATGCAGGCTCCACGAGATCACGAGTCTTGGCCCTCTTGGGCTGTTTGTAATGTTTATTATCCGACGGATATAGTACGATATCCGCTGGGGCCAAAAAAATTATCGTATCGTATCCGCTGCGGATAATCGATAATGAAAAGCTATCGTTATCGGCAGTTTGATACGATCGATCGATAACTATAGTACGATAATGCGGATAGTGACGCAGCCTACTACCAACCTACTTGTATCTAACATACAACATAACAACATACAGTCAACTCCCATCAATAATGTGAACACTGAGGCATCACTTATCAATCAGCACTTCCTTCCGCGGTTCATCTGGACATTTGGGTCTCGGTTGGGTCTCGGGTTGGTTGCTGTTGGTTTATTAAGTGATGCTTCAATGGTCATATTATTGAGGGGAGTTAATTTTGTGTTGTCTTGAGTGTATTGTCTAAGATACAAGTGAAATGTTGAGGTAGGCGAATGTATGCACGTGATCCCAGCCTTTTATTATCTCAGCGACCGGGATATTCCAACAGTTGCCCAGATGACAACCCGCCCACGGGTGACGGAAACCAGGGTGGGCTGGCTTGCAGTCCAATCGCAAATAGGAATAGCAAGTTGTTTGTCTAAATTGGAAAACCTTCTCCATACCATGGTAATTTATATGGCCGTAGGACTGATTAAGCTAGTGTGAATTACGAATACAATGAATGACGATACAGCTACTCCACCGCTTTCAACAACGGGACTGCTGACTAAGACCCAACCCAACCCATGGGTTGGCTTTTCGTGGGCGGGTTTGGACGAGGTTTACGATTTTCCCCCGGTTTCGTTAAAAATCCCGAGAATCTAAGAACAGCCCGTTGGAGCAAACTTTAACATAACATCGCCACTGAATTCTTTCCATGCAAACGGACGGACACGCAGTGGTCCAATACCTCCTCAGCTCGCACAATCGCTATGGACCAATAGGTGGCCGTGCCATAGTGCAATGTACGTGGTGCTGCAAGTTCAGGGAGGAAGTCAAAAGGCAGGTCATTATTAAAGCTTCTCCCCTCGCATATTATTCCGCAGGGGACTATATCAATACCTGAGTTTTTCCTTTACTACTATTGAATCATTTCAACTTTCAACTTTCAACTTTCTCGGTCACCCAAGATACACTGAATGACTTTTCCAGCTACGCGTACAGAAGAGCAAGTGACGGGCCAGTCTTGGCCCATTGAACCTTCCGGATTGGATGAACTACTTTATCCGGACTCGCTATCATGGAACTCGCTGGATTTCATGTCCCCCATTGATGGAATTTCTATTGATAATGCTTCATTGAGAAATTTCTCACAGGCAAACCAGGCTAAAACCTCAACTTCCTTCGATAGTGGTAACGACTATTTTTCTTCTTGCTACGTATGTACTCATTATCCTGTTCATGCATTGATCAAGCTAATGGTACTCCTTAGGATTTTGGTGATACTGGTGTCCCGTACACTTATCTGAACAAATTCTGTTGCACGCCAAACATTCCCGGATTCGAAAACATCAATGACAGTCATTACTACACATATGGGGAGCACAATGAGAAGGACATATCGATAGAGTCACATAATAGGGTACACCAAACATACCCAAAACGTCTCTCTGTTTCTTCCGGCAGCAATGAAAGGACAACTCCACAGTCGGGATGTCCTCCCAATTCGACATCTGACACGGAGGATGAACCTACTAGTGAGGCAACACGCCGAAAAAGAGCACATAACATGATAGAAAAGCGACACCGTGACAGTATCAATTGCAAATTCAAAGAGTTACAAGATGTTCTAAGTCCTTGTTGTGGTTCTCAAGAGAACATAGGCATCACGCCGCACAAAACGTCCAAACAAATGAACCGAGCAGCGATCCTTGAAGAAGCTCATAATGAAATTTTGAATCTCCGATCAGAGGTAAAATCAGTCAAAGAAACAGCTAAAAGCTTGCGAGACGCAACCTTCCCTTACACATGCAAATTCACACTGTGACGACTGAGTAGGCATTGGATATGATGTCAGGATGAGGAATTAATGTTCTGGCTAGTACTGAACATGTCCAATAGAATCAGATGATTGATTGAAGGTTGTTAAGATCGTTTGAGTGATCCCCGGGGTTTCCCTAATCTAACTATGGCGTGTTGTGCCCTGAAACGAACGAAGTGAGATAAAGGGTTTCTCTGCTGGCGGGTATACCCCTGCTCTCAAAACTTTGGTGCCATGAAACGAGGAACGAGTGAAAGGGGTTGCTTTGCAATGACGAGCTCCCTCGACAGTCCACCCTAGGAATCAAATTAGATCATGATTTCAAATAGTAAATCCCAACTGACTTTTACTATAGCTCCCAATGGGGAGGGGCTCGTAGGGGAAGAAGGATGCGTGCCAAATAGCTGTAATACTTGAGTCGAGCTTGGCTAAACAAACCACTTATATGTTTTTCAATCAATGATTTGAGAATCAAGGTTTTGTAGAAGCCAAGACAAAAAGGCGTGTGAAGCTGCTACTCTATGTACAAAAACAACCCGCATGGCCCCATTATCTGCTCATATACTCATAATGAAGGGTGGAAGCTCGATTTATCACAATCTCACGATATATTCAAGCAGCAATTCCAACCCTACTGAAACTATCTGGCAATTCTTCGAAGTTTTCCCGAAAGCGTACGAAAAGAGTTTTTGCAATATCATATGGGAGATCAAGGAATGCTGTTGTGAGATAGGAGCGTGCGAATCTTTACCACGCTGTACCATAGCTTTTGTCTGATCAATATTTTGTAGGCGTGATATGGTTACTCTGATCTTATGAAGTAGACACCAACAGTAAAGGAAGATAAACAATTCCGCGGTTGGACTTGAAAGGAGCTAGTTGTATACATATAATATTTATGGGGCATTTTTTGTTGAAAGAAATGAAATGGCAGGACCAGTTGCCGCCTCACCTGTCGCAACAACCTGCATTTCCATGGTGATGAATGTTGAAACGCTTCATCGATGCTTTTCTGTCACATCTCTAGGAATGTTCAAAATGTACCAACAGTGAGAAAACATTTCTCATATACTGGATTTCCGAGTAGAAACTGCAATGCCTCAGAGCTCTGCGTTAAGTCCATGATGACCTGTTGAACCAGCTGCAGTTAGTGGGTCGTCTTTGTATATGTCCTCACAATTTACAATGATAATTGCGTCAATACAAGCAAAATGGCTGGCTGCAATAATATAAATACCCGATCCCTGACCAGCAGAACCGCCATTTGCATGCATTCCTTTGCCACTCTGAATCAAAGAAGATCGAACGTGTTCGTCTCTGCCGGCTACTCTTTGGTATGGACTGACCCCGGATTTTCATGCGATCGTGATTAAACTGACCCGTTTATCGCACTAGCCTCTTCTTGTCGAAACTGAAGTCTTCGAACAGCAAGTGAGTTAGCTGTTCAATCATTTGGAATCATGCTGACACGGGCGAGGCAGCTCAATGGTGCTCGGATTTTGATTAAAATTAAAGCCAAGGTCAACGCTCTAGATGCTATTATGCACGGGACACCCTTGTCATGCCTAAGACACATCGGCCGTATTGAAAGCAACAGTCACAAAGTTACAGGCATCGAAACAAGCTAAAAGGGTATGGATAAATCTGAACGAGATCAAGCGGAACCAATTCAGGATAAAACCATTTATTGATTGAATAGAAAGATGCATGCGATCGAGGGCAGGTTAAAGTACCCCCTGTATGTCCGTACATTCCAAGTGGTAAGGACATGTTTATATGGCAATCGCGCCCGTGTGATCAAGTTCTTAGCATAGGCTATTTAAGAAACATTTAGGATAATCGATCTCAAAGCTCCCTGCCTAAACTTTTATACTCCAATCTTATCCCAAACAGTCCAGACACTCACGTTAAATCCTAAAGATCGGAGGTCAAATTCAATCTCAGTTCGATCGACTGTCATTCACTAAACCTTCAGATGACACCCTGAGTTTCCATCTGACAGCGAGCTTTCCAGGCCATCCCTTCACATAGATCGGCAAGATCGACATAGTAATCCCAGTCCTCCCACTGTTCTTGTGCCTCTGCTGCATCAGCGTCTTTCCGTGCTGCCCTGGCTCGACGCTCCCAAGCGGAAGCATATATATTCAGCGCACTGTCGTCCTGATAGACAGCATTATCCTGTAGGCGAGGACCTTCCCCGAATTCCTGGTGTGCTCCTGAGTTTGATGCCATTGCATTGAAATCAGTGGTATAGCATTGAGTAAGCGAAATTTGCGCGAGCGAAAGATGCGTATCTTTAATAATTTTATGTATTGAGTCAATAAGGTTTAGATAGGTGGACGATATGCCAGCCGTCGTAGTCTGGTAGTTTAGTAGTAAGTTGAACTCAGAAAATTGCAAGATGTTTTGAAATACCCACCACCTTTAATTCCTTAGCCACAGTATACGTAGCACAAGGTTCTCCGTTTGCATCCAAAAATACTTACGAAAAGCAGGTTTTGGCAGGAAAGGCTTTCTGGGACATTGAACGCCACTCGGCCCTGAATTCAAAATAAGCGGTGAAAATAGGACGGGGAGTTCGGCCGCCTATGAAATTCGCGGGCCTGACGTCGGGTTTTGGCGTGGCCTAGTCCCAGCTACTGAATGCGCGGCTAGTTTACCCAACCAATCGCATGACTTCTAATAACCCAAATTCTCTGCAAAACTCCTGCTACATTCTATCATCCAGCCCAATAGCATTTCCACTAGGGCGTTATCAGGAATCTTCAACCACCTACTGTAGAGGACTCATGTGGAATTTCTCATATATTCACCCTGGTCGTAATCTACTGGCATTCTTTTCCGCCCAATGAAATTTAATGGTCCATACGTAGCACTCGGAGACCAAGCGTCGTCCGTCATTATCCCATCCATAGATTCATTATCTTTCAGGAAGACCCAGAGACCCATAAAATCAAAATGATCCCTTGAATCCACCCTACCTATTATAATGCATGACGCAGTCAGTAACCAAGGGAGATAATAAACTTCTTGTTGCAACAGCTACCGTGCGAGAAAATATTGACCATTTCTATTTCCATCAATAATCTCTCCAGAAATGCACTTAGGTTATGAGATATGCTTATCCTGCGACAGCAAAACATCGCAAGGACCTTTCTGCTGTGATATATGCCGTTATTTCTTGATGCACCCATCTCTATCTATGTCAGCGCCCGACACTGCCAATCACTTCAGCATCTCTTGCGATCAAGTCTCATCCAATAGCTTGATGAATTCGATATTCCTAAAAGAATCCTCGTCAAATACAATGAGATGGTGCCAGATAGGTCGAGACATCTCACTGCCCACCGATATCTCAAGAGAGCAGCGAAGTATCTTGAAGACTTATGAGCATTCTTTTGATCAAGTTCGACTAATGAAAAGACAAATGCTTCTTTGATTTATTTGGACCATTTTCATTGTTGTGGTAAGCGAAGGAATTCCAGGTTTGAAGGCAATAACTGCTAATTAAGCAGCAGTACAGGGATTCCTTTACGACCCATGGGGGCATCATTATCTGCTGTCCGCAATGTGAAAGTTCTTTGCCGATCTAGGGTCTAAGACGGTGGCCGTTCAGGATGGGGCAACTTGGGAAGAACTCGATCAGACAGCTGCACGTCAGGGATTGGCCGTGATCAGCTGCACGTCGAGCGCGGTGGGCGGGGGATTCGGCTGGCTTACGGGACTCCACGGTTTGGTCATCAAAATTTACTAAGCGTTAATGTTCTTGTTATTATATGAGGCTGGTGCAGATGACTGGGAAGAATGACGAATTCGATAAGGTCACGCATGCCTTTTTCATTACTTGAACGAAGATTCAGGGGTTCTAGGAAATTTCGAGCGGTCGAACGTAGCCCATTGGGGCCACACGGTCGCTCAGCGGACAGGTTGTGTTCCGTGGAGAGAATATGAAAAACTCACTCGCGATGAGCCGCTTGTCGGAGAAGCAAAATTTCATGAGGTGTCCATGCGGGCTGCTTGCTCACCACGACCAATTCAGTGAAACATAAGTGGTGTCTTCGAAAGACGTCCAGGTCGGGATTAGCGGCTGTTGTAGTTCAAAAGGAAGATGGATCATTATTCAGAGGGAAAATGAGGCTATATATGCGATAAGATCAAGCTGGTTTCCATCGAAATTTCGATCATTGCGATCGATCATCGACCCTCCATCGAGCCACTGTTTCGTGCATCCATCCTCGAAAGAACGAACAGGCGCGTCGAAAGTGACGGTTTAAAAAAAAAAATTAAATCTTGCATCTCTACAGCCAAATATGATGGTACAAGTGACTGCAGAGCATGAATCTGGGGTTGCGCTTTTTTGAAGGTGATTCGTGATTTTATTTTATAGTCGATGGGTATTCAACAGGTAATCTAATGGAGCTTCCCAAGTTCTCGGCCAAATATCGTCATGATCGAACCTTTTCAATCCGCAAAATTTGCCGCCTTTGATTGAATTCGCCATAAAAGATGTGGGGCATCTGACATAAGGACGAAACGATTTCAAAGTATCATGAGCAAGGAAACAAAAGCAGCGAGGAGAGTGCGAAGGAGACTAGGGATATTAGTTCGTGAAGCGGCTCCCGTGTGGACGGGGGAGAATCTCTGAGGTGCTACCGGGACGAATACAACCATTTATCTCAACAAAAGTAGAATCCGCTAGTAAAGCAGGCGTCGAATGGAATGAATGGTGTTATCTGATCGTTGATTATTGATGGCAAATACTGGATGAGGGCGCTGTTGAATTACCCTTAGGCCAATGTGACAAACTGAGGTGTTGAAGCCCCTGTATTGGTAGTATCGTTCTGTCACCCTGACACGCACTACTCATGCATTAAGGTTATCCCTGTATCTACATAACTTGGTAGTAGCTCACATAAAACCAAATTTAATACAACTATCTCGCACATGCTACAACATGAGGGAGTTGTCAAATACCACTAGGACCCTTCGGGATAGCCTTATTCATCGTTCACCTAATTTCCCCCCGAACGGTGTCAATAGTACGCTATAATTCGACTGTATAGACCCCGGGATCGCTCAGCCTGTCCGAATACCTTCAATGAATCATCTGATTCTATTGAGCATGTTCAGTACTGGTTACATAAGCATGGTAGGGCTGCCTACATTAGAAATATATATTTCCTTCCTCATGCACTACAATCTCTATGGTACATGCCTGCTATCTCCTTACCCACAAAGAGTAAAACCAAGTGGGAATCTTAAGGCAAATTGATGTTTCTAGAGGACATAACCGATATACGAGACAGTTTCATATCATTTCATTCTGAGGTAGCTAACGTCGAAGACCGGTAGAGGGCGAGACCAGAACATGTGTAAATAACAATAACTAACTAATGTAATGGGGAATTCCGCTCTCAACATCGGTATCCTAGAGTCATGTGACCAAGGCCTCAGCAACAAGGCCACCGTTTTGTTTCGTGAGGTTAAGTAGCGTTCGTTCGATAGTATCAATAACAACATGCATGTTCCCCCTTATGAAAATGTTCTACTGAGGCTGCTGAGGTCGCGGTATCGATATACTGCGTATGAAAGGTTCTGTTATTGCTCGTTCGATCATCTCTCTATAGCGTCACGCTTTGCTCATCTCGTTCCTGCACTCTGCGAGTGTGGTGGTTTTGTCTCTTCGCGATCGACCCGTCTGCTTGACAGACTGCCAGCGAGCATTCCCATCTTACACTAGTTGGTTAGTACATAATTATAAGTCATATGTCTCCCCGTCGAGCAGCTAGAAATAGGTGAATGCTCGAATGGCATTGGAAGGGAATAACGATCGCCATGCCGACAGTACTAGGAACCAGATTGAGGAAATAGGACCAACGTCATTTTTAGTGCATCTCTAATGCAAGAATCTCGCTTCCGCGATGAGTTCCATTTTGACACATCCTATGAGTCCCTTGAGCATATCTAGATGTTTTAACGATCTAAAATTCGGACGTTCGCGTGAAAAGGGCTTGGGCAAGAAAGCTTGAGACGAAATGGTGATTGTGTCGGCATTTGCGCCATGCTAGCACCCAGAAGAAGCGCCAGACTCTCTGCATCAGAAACTTTGTCACTTGAAAGAGGAATCTTCCATGGCAGTACGGTTTATCTGAAGCCGGCTGCCCATGTCTTGGCCAAGTGATAAACACCGGCTTGGGGGATTCGGGTAACTGAATAGCGGGGCGTTCTGTGCAGAAGTAAGATTTTCCCAAAATTACTCTGACGAGATGTTGCTCGGAATTCAGCGACTTATTTGAAGGGTTTGTGAAGTTTGACGCACCTCGAGGCATAGTAAGCCAATAGCATAGACTATCGTAAAAGCCATCCTTGACAAACTGGAAGGTCGAAGATGAGGTTGTAGGATTTGAATGAGTTCTAAGGAAGGCAATTAGTGAAGGCGTTCCGAAATCTGGTTTTGGCCGAACCTTAACCTTCTCACCCCAGCATTTCCCACATAGAGCTTAAAAGATCTGCGGCAGTCAATTCAAAAATCGAATCGATATATAGAGAATTTCCAACATAATTTGTTGATAGCTGATTGTTTACGGAGACCTTGGCTGCTAGAAGGGAACGAAGTCTCGGTCAGCGCTTGACAAAAGCTTAGGTGACGGCATCGGTGTCGACACTGCTTCATCGATGGCTCTGTTTCGGCCGGTTTCTCGGCATATCTTCATGTGCTAGCAGGTGTAGTAGAGAGTTCGGCGGCATGGGGCCTTGCAACTTTTGCGAATCGCGACAGAATATATGATGCTCGGGATAAAAGGGTCAATAGATGGGGGAAAGTATTTTTCCCGACGTAGACAAAGGAAAAAGGCTTGCAGACAAAAAGTTCGATGGACAGGCCAGCTATTTGCCTCGGCGAATTCTTCATGAAATGCTTCTTCAGTCTCAAACTTCATATTGGCTGCGTAGAAAACCGTACATATCGTCTTTCGGCAAACGATTCGCAAATCGTAGAAGTTAATTATGGACAGTACGAGGCAACATTGGCAAACTTCTGAAACTACGTGGAGTAAGCTGCCACGGCGAGTGGCCCATGGAGTGCCACTTGGATCTACACCTCATTTTAACTGCGTTGAAGGCCGTTTGAGCTAGGTGAATCAACGTTGACGAGGCATATGATTAGTCACGCATAGCTTTGTCGGAGCAGCTGTGGGCCTAAGTAACATACACGAATGAGACAGCAAGGAGTCTTGATTGTGAATGTCTCTGTTACCATACGATTTTGTATCGTAGCTCGGACAATCTATCTACCGAATATTACAATCACGTTGCTAAATAGAACATATGACAAAACAAAGCTCCATATATTCCGACACACATTGTTAAAGGTGATGCTTCTATTGGTTATCCCGGCCATTGAGATGATCACGGGGGCTGGGAGAACGCGCAAAATACATATTGTAATTGGGATTTCCGCTCTCAACATCGGTATCCTGTAGTCATGTGATCGAGGCCTTAGCAACAAGGCCATCGTTTTGTTTC